TATGCTAGTTTAAGAAGGTCTGGTCGAAGAAGGAGAAATCAATATCCAAGGCTTTGGCTGCGATGTAGCCTCAGAGGAGTCGGTGCAGCAGGTATATAGACAGATAGAGAGCCAATTAGGACCTTTGGACTGTTTGGTCACCGCTGCCGGTAAGGCCTCACTCTCCGTCTTGAGCGCGCGTCCGCTAACGGGAGCCGCCAGGCATCGTGGAGAACTTTCCAGCCGTAGAGTAAGTCGAACCACCTCGGCCAACTCGAAGAACTCGCACCAGATAGTTACCCTACCGACAAGGTAAGGCGTCTCTATGACATCAACGTGCATGGGTCATTCTTTTGTGCAAGAGAAGCAGCCAAGTCGATGCTTCGACGCAAAGCGACAGGTAGTATCATTCTCATTTCCAGTATCAGTGCAAATGTGAGTCTACTTCTCGAGCGCCTTCACATTGCACACGTGTACTGACTGTCCACAGATCGTCAACCAACCACAAGTTAGATCGGTTTCCATTTCCTCTGTTCGAGACATTAACGAGATGACAAAGTTGCAAACATCGTATAATGCATCCAAAGCAGGTGAGTTTGTAGCCTTGACAAATTTAGGCGAAATCGCCTGCTGATCCGCTTCAACGGTGAAACATATGGCCTCATCCCTGGCCGTCGAGTGGGCAAAAGCTGGGATCAGGGTCAATGCAATCTCTCCGGGTTAAATGATGACGAATCTAACTGCCAAAGTTTTGGAGGAAAATCAAGAGTTGAAGGCAGGTCCCGAGAAACCCCTTAAAGCTGAGATGGTAACTCGTCTGTCTAGAAATCCTGGCAGACTTTAACGCCAATGGGTCGGGTATGCGGAATTCTTTTTACCACAATTATCTAGCTGACTTCGGGCAGATGGGGAGTCCGGAGGAATTGAAGGTAGCGCCTGAAGTATAACGGCGGCTATCCACAGCTATTCCCTTTCTAACAGGGCGCAGTTGTATTTTTGGCATCGGATGCATCGAGCTATGTTACTGGCAGCGAGTTGAGAGTAGATGGAGGATACTGTTGTATTTAAGAGACTGGCAGGAGGCCGTTGGGAGCCACCCTCACCATCGTCATAGTTCGGAGCTACGATAATATGCCTAACAGGAAGGGGAAGTTGTAACTGTACTAGCTAATAAATACGATTCAAAATCATCCAAAGAATGAATGCATATTTACTTGCCATCTTCAGCCGTCTCCTGTTTTGTGTGGTAGC